TTTGTCTCTGACATCTATTAAAAGATTAAAAAGAGATGCAACATCTAATCCGATCAAGAGTGGATATTTAAAGTTCTTCATTACATGGAGAGTTACAGGTTTAATTAGTTTATCTATTCTTACCTTGGTCTGAAGGCTTCCACATGTCCTGGTAACACCATCCGCTTGGCTGATGTGAATGTCTGAATTTGGTTGAAGTTGAAGACGGGTTCGCTTGAACAATCGCCAATTGATTATTGATACTGTTGCTCCAGTATCCACAAATGCTTGCGCAGTAATTCCATTTACTTCAACACTTATGTTGATAAGCTTGAAAGCTCCTTGTGTAGGGGTATTTGTCAAAGTACTTACATTCAACAATTCCGGGGCTCCGCATACTTGTTTCACTGAAGTGTTTTGATTAGGCCTATCCTTTTTATAATTAGGATCATAATCCTCACAATCTGTGACCCAATGTTTAATTTTTATTCCCTTTTTCGAACATATTGGACACCAGAATGGGCAAACATTTTTTTCTATTATCATTATTTTTTGTCGCGAGATGTATTTTGTTTTTAGGCTTAAACTGAATTGAAGCCCTATTTTGTTCAATTGAAGCTGCGATATGAAACCATTTTGTGGCGTCAGTTGGCTGTGCAGCCACAATTAAATCTTTCCAATCATTTGGAAGTCCGTCTGTTAATAAATGAATTTTTTCCTCCTTCGTTAGATGGGTTTGATTTAACAGGCGAATTTTATCTTGAAAATAATTTTCTATTGATTCTTCTCGTTTTAATCTTCGATGTGATGCTGAGACAATTGGATTTGCGTTGTATGAACCAAATCTTTGAATCAACTTTTCCTTTACAACTTCCCATCTTTTTATTGCAGGATTTGAAATAATCTCATCTGCATACCATTCAAGTGCTGAATCTGTCAAGTAGTACATAAGATTTTTGATTTTTTCATCTTCTTTTAAAGAATTATTTTCAAAATCATATAATTTGATCCATGACTCAGGCCTAATTGCAGACTTCGAGCCGTTGAATTTTTGCAACCGGTTGTTTGGATTTTCCGCCATTTTTTTTTTCTTCGTATCCTTTTCGACTGCGCCAAATGCCACGTTTTTATTTTTAAAACGCTAATTTTAGTTTTGTAAAACTTTAATTTTAAAGTTTATTATTTTAAAAGTGAAATGTTTGTTAATGAAATAGATATTTTACCTAAACTCATTTTATTGCCGCTTTCTTTTACAAGCCATTTGTTTATGTATATTTTTACATATCGTTTTTATTGAGTTTTTTACTAATTTAGTATGTACATCATTGACTTTTAATGAATGGAAAAAGAAATTGAAAATAAACACATGAAAAATTAAAATAACATTTTAAAGGAAATTATGTACAATTGAAAATTGTTTCTGTAACGTCTCAATATATTTTTTAAAATAGCCTATCGTCTTCCCCGTATTTGTTTACCTATGTATGGAAATTTTGGTTTGAATTAGTGAACTACTGCGAATTTGTATACCTGACATACAAACAAACAAACATACAAACATTGATTTATATATATATATATATATATATATATTTGTACGTTTTCGTCTGAATTTTTGGCCTTAGGAAAGAAGTTTTCTTTAGAAGCTTGTCAAGTTTAATAAAATATGTATTGGGAAAATATATATCATCACTACCGATTGTCTCTCTCATCGATAAATTATAGGAAGACCCTAGCAAATCTTTCAATTCAGATGTTATGGGAACAATGGACTAGGATCAAGGCAGATCTGGTCGCCAAGTTACAGTCCCTCTCACCTGCCGTCGCCGAGTCCGGCGGTGGATACATCGAGAAAGCAAGCGACTTCCTGAGGTGGAGACTGGAGGACGATACTGCCCGCTCCGACTATCTTTCCTTGTCGGACCTCGGGCGTTCCCCCCGAGTCAGACGTCGCTCTCCCTCCACTTTCACCGACGACGAAGGCATTTAGCATCAAAATTCAGAACGAGGTAGTTGCCAGTCATGCTTTAAGTGAAATTCCAGTTCAAATCTGACTTTGTGAGTGATTTTCCTCTCTCCAGGTATATCAGGAAAGTGGCCTGGGTCTTACGCCTCACTATAATTGTCTTCATGCCACAGAAAGAACCAAGAGCCACCTGGCCCCTATAAGTTGAAAAAATTCCAGGACCTGATCATTCGCGCAACACAATTCCATTATTTTCTCAATATAAAAAGAATTACTTATTAAAACCAGGAATCGTGGGGAAAAAAAAGCAAAATTCATACGTTAACTCCATTTCTTGATGATTCAGGAATCATCAGAGTGGATGACAGACTCAAATGGGCCCCAACTTTATTGTATGAGCAACAGTCTTATTTCCAGCTCTAAGAAGACTTACCCAATTGATTATTCAAGATGCCCATGTAAAATTCTTACACAGAAGTGTCAATCTGATGCCTTCAGTGTTGGGAAGAAAATATTGGATAATAAATGATAAAATAAATTGAAATATGCATACGAAACTGCACAACTTGCTGTCGTAACAATAATACTCATCAAAACCAATTAATGAGCGACCAAGTCTTCAACCGTCTTCAACCAGTTACCATGCGCATATCTAAGGCTCGGAACATATAGTGAGGAAAGGATATGTCTGTTTATGTGCCTCGTGACTAAAGCAATATACGTGAAGCTTGTTATGATTGCTTCAACCCTTAACTTCATAGCAGCTATCAAACGGTTTTCTGCACGCGAGAACCTTTTGTTTAAACCTATACAGTGATCACGGAACTAATTTTGTCGAAGCCTCAAGGCAATTTAGGTAAATATTTTACTTTGGTCAAGGAAAATTGGAAGGTCTGACTTCTATCTTGGCAAATGATGGTATAGAATGGAAGTTTGCTCCATCAGGAGCCCCCTCATTTTGGTAGCCTTCCGGAAAGCAGGAGTCAAAGAGCTCTAGTACCATCTGCGACGCATCGTAGGAAGCATCCCAGTGACCTATGAAGAACTCTGGAAGAAAATTTTAGTGTTAGTCAAAGAAGGACAGATTGCCTCCGGCCAAGTGGCTGATGGGCCGAGTTCTGGAGACTCATCCTGGAAAGGATGGTTTCGTACAGGTCGTCTTCGTCCGGATTGCCGATGGAGTTATCTGGAAACCTTTCGTCAAGTTGGCACTCCTCCCGGTGGCCCCACTGGATGTTGATGGAGTCCATTAACTCGGGGAGGATGTTTATACTTGGAAATAATCTCTATATGTATGTATAGATATTCAAATTTATTATAATATTGTGTGTTTAAAATTATTAATATTACTTTATTTTAATATATATTGCGTAATAATCAAATGTATTTTATATTTAGATATTCTTTTAGTTAAGGCGCCGAAAAGATTCGGCATCCCTGTAAAAAGAAAGTTATTGGCGTTAGGCGTAGTTTGTTTGACGCGACAATATAATAATTAATATTTTAGTTATTGTCATACCTTCTAAAATTTTAAAACAGACGCAAAGGATAGTTTTTTGGCTGGTAAAGCTTGACAAACTAAGTAGTATTGGTTACATTTTGAATATCTTTTGGTAGATATAATTGGCTTATGATGTATTTCAAAATTTCAGCCGCTCTAGAGGAATTTCAAAAACGCTTACAACCAGTAACTAAAGAAATGAAAGCTGATGACACTCTAGTGTTTGGAAGGGGAGCTACAATTGATAAAGTTACCCATGATCATGACACATATCATCCTGGAAAATTATTCATATGTACAAGAGAAAGAAACTCTAAATTTAACAAAGAAAAATTCTATTGTGCTCAAATACACGAGGTAGATTATGTCAAGGGAGGGGCTTAAGCCTGATCCAAGAAAAATGGAAGCAATAAAAGATATGTCAAGACCCATAATTGTAAAAGAAAACAGAAATACCTAGGCTGCCTCAATTACCTAACAAAGTTTCTACCCAAACCTTCAGAGATTACACAACTATTTAGAGTTTTGAAACACAAAGGTATGGCATGGTATTGGAGTGATCCCCAAGAGGATGAAATTGAGAAAAATCAAAAGAGTTTTTCACTTAAGCTCCAGTCCTAAGGTACTTTAATCCAAGTCTGTCTGTAACAATACAAAGTGATGCTAGCGATAAGGTTTTAAAAGCAGTTCTTTTACAAAAAGAACAACCTATTGTATTTGAACCAAAAGCATTGCAAGTGCAGAAATTCGGTATGCTCAAATTGAAAAAGAGTGGCAACTGTATTCGCTCGTGAAAATTTTGATCAATACATTTAAGGAAATACTAGTGTTTATGTAGAGACTGATTTTAAGCCTCTTGAAATATATTCAAGGTCTATGTGCACCAAGTTCCAAAATATTACCAAAGTGATGCTTCCAAGATTTCATAATTATAATTCACAAGTTAAATATATGAACCTTGAAAGCAAATGTACTTTTTAGATTGCTTATCGCGAAACTATTTTATGAAGACAGGAATTGAAAATAACCTTAACTTTGAGGTGAAATAATGAAATAGGCATTTATCTAGATAAATTAATAAATATAAAATGATAAATATGTCAATGTCTCTCTCAACAGCAACTGCAGAACAAATTAGGAAGCACAATTCTAAATATCAACTGTACAAGCACTACTCAATATAAAAGGTTGGCCGTCAAATAAAAATACAGTGCAAAAGAGGTAATGGAATCTTGAAAATTAAAGGATGAACTAACTGAAAAATGTAATAATTTACAAAGTGCATAAAAACATAATTCCAAAAGCATTAAGATTAAAAAATGCTTAGCCGACCAGTCGTCATGGAGTTGCTCTGTCACTTACTAATGCTCCACAAGCTATCTTTTGGCCCTGTATGAGTCAATATATAAAATATACTGATCACAAATGCAAAGCTTTTTGGGCCTATAAACCAATAAAATTAAATTAAATATTAATGTTCCAGCAAACTCCAGAGCTGCTATGGAAAAATATAAATTGATATTTTTATACTGTAGAAACAGTTTATAATCTTATCTGGACAAGTGTGGACAAGGCACCTGCCCGGTAAGCAGAAGGTTGTGGGTTCGATTCCCGCCCCTGGACACTTTTATTTTTCCGTTCGCCATTACTCTTCATATTTTCACCCTCTCATACTTCATTCAAAAAAGTTAGAAATGGTCGCTATTTCTCTTTTAAATAAATTTCGATTTTTGTATAAAAGAAACATTCGCGGTATATTTGCTATTTTCGTTTTACAATCATCAGCCGCGTTATATTGTATTTTAAAAAATTACTTTGAGTATTAGTTACGAACGGAAAAATACGTCCAGGGTAGCCGAGTGGACAAGGCACCTGCCCGGTAAGCAGAAGGTTGTGGGTTCGATTCCCGCCCCTGGACACTTTTATTTTTCCGTTCGCCATTACTCTTCATATTTTCACCCTCTCATACTTCATTCAAAAAAGTTAGAAATGGTCGCTATTTCTCTTTTAAATAAATTTCGATTTTCGTATAAAAGAAACATTCGCGGTATATTTGCTATTTTCGTTTTACAATCATCAGCCGCGTTATATTGTATTTTAAAATAATCTTATCTCTATAGATTATTTTCCCAGTTTTTGGAGTTGGATGTTTTGGAAGATACCACTTCGGAATCCATAATTGAATGCCGCAAAAAGAATTTTAGCGGACATCCTGAAAATCATGAAACGGGTAGTTAAGGCCAGAAGTGCGTGAGAAAGCGAAACAATGTGATAAAATAGTTTTTTTTACTTATCCTTTTAGTCTAAATTAGACAAGATCTTGGAGGTCGTGCTCATAAAGAAGTTCAAGAACTCTTTTTGGTTCTCTGTACAGGGATCCCTTGTCCTTTCCAATACAATTTAGTATATGTTGGGGAGTGGCCTCTTCGGTTTTGCACCTAGTGCACATGGGGAAGCTTTTGGCTCCCTCTTTATAGACTAGAGGGCGCGGGTGACCTGATTTCCATCTGGCCAACTGTGTCGATTCCCTTCTGTTTAGTTGGAGGGTCTGTTTTTTTGGGGTTTTCTATTTGGTACCAATAATGATGGAAACTATCTCTATGGTTCCTTATCAGTTGTAGTTTCAGTTTGTTAATATGGTCCCTTGCTGAAAGATAGGTCTCGGAGTTCACCGCATCAGGATGTCCAGCTGCTCCTTCCTTTGCCAATATGTCGGCCTCCTCATTTCCAGGGACTCCCACATGTGATGGAATCCATTGTAGACTTATTTTGGTATTTTTATTTAGTTTGTTGATTTCTACAGCAATGTTTTTAAGGAGTCTGTCTTGTGAGTAGTAGCAGTTTTTAATTGCAAAGATGGCGGCTTTTGAATCTGTATAAATTATTATGTTTTGGTCTCGTTTTTCTCTACGAGTGTTAGGGCATGTAGTATGGCTGTTGGTTCGGATCTGAAAACTGACAAGTTCTTCGGGTTTTTGATTCTTCTTTTTATTTCCATACTATATTTAAGGATGAAAACTCCACTGCCAGAGGAGCCATTCTCCACCAGTGAGCCATCGGTGTAAATCTGTATGGTCTCTTTGTCTGCTTTTTCAATCCTCTCGATAGCGAGGCTCCTGAGTAGTCCGGGGTGGTCGGCCCCTTTGGAGCATTCTTGCTCAAGATCCAGGTTGTAAGAGATTTATGGTCTTTCTTTATATGGTGCATATTGGTTCTGGGCATTTCTTTTTCTTGTCCTGTTTGGTAGTAGTTCCCGGTAGGCTAGGTGCATTGGGCTAAGTCTTTTGAGTCTGGTTTTTGGTTTCCATTTTCGTATGAATTCTCCGGTTCTGTGTGATTTTGGTGCATTTACTCTCTTGTGTATATAATCGGCTAAGCCGATTTTTCTCCTGTGTGTAATAGGCAACAATTTGTCCTCAATCTCTGCAATTTTGGTTGGACAGGTATTTCTGAGTCTACATATGATTCTTGCAGCACTGCTCTGCATCTGATCGATTTTATTCAGGTTGGTCTTGCTCGCCGTCTGCTACACTGGTTGGACATATTCTAAGATTGGTCTGATAAGGGCCAGATAGGTTTTGCGCAGAGTATCCCTATCTGTGCCCATTCATATCCAGATATTCTTTTCAGAATGTTAAGTCTATTTTTTTGCTCTTAACACCGTCTGGTTGATATGAGGTCCATAGGTCAGTGAGGAGTCTAAAGTGACTCCTAGGTATTTGGGTGTCCGAGAAAATTTTATTTGATTGTTGTCATATTTGATATTTGGGGTCCATTTTTTAAGGTGGTTGTTTATTGTAAATACTCCTACTTCGGATTTATTAGGGTTTATAATTAATTTCATTTTTTTTCGCAAAGTGTTGGGGTTCTTAAAGCGCTTTGTTCACATTTTTGTTTGCTTCCTTGAGATCTTAGTAGTGGACCAGATGATTATGTCTTCGGCACAGAGAGCAAAGTCGCAGTATTTTGTTATTCTGGAGTTCATGTCATTCAGATAGATTTAGAATAGTAGGGGGGCTTAGTATGGATCCCTGAGGGAGTCCCCGGAAGAGCCTGCCAGTTTTTGATAGTTGTTCTTTGAAGTTAACCTGGAAGGTCCTTCCGGTCAGAAAGGATCCAATCCAACCCATCATCTTCTTCCTTATACCTTGTTTGTCCAGGCTTCTTAATTAACCTTTCTTTCCACACTCTATCAAAAGCCTGGCTTAAGTCTATAAAAGCGGCTATGGTAGACTTGGTTGGTTTACTTTGGAAGTTGTCTTGAATTTTCTGTGTGAAGTAGAAAATCTGGTCTACTAATGTGTTATGATATTTTTTGAAAGCTGCCTGCTGTTTTGTAAGTAACTTGTTTTTGTTAAGGAAGTATTGCATTCTATTTAGTATCATGCGCTCCATGAGTTTGCATGGTATGGAGGTTAGTGATATTGGTCTATAACTCTGTGGGTGGTTTTCTGTTTTTCCTGCTTTATGGATGGGGATTATGATTGCATGCTTCTATTCTTTAGGTAAGGTGCTGCTTGACCAGCTTAAATTAATTGTGTGAAGGATCTCTAAAATGGCGTTTGTTTCTAGGTGTTTTATCATTTTGGCTGATATTATGTCTGAACCTGGAGTTTTGTTATCATCTAATCTATTTATAACTTCTTTTAATTCATGAGGTAAAAATGGCTTGTAGAATAAGTCTTGGTGATATGTTGTTTTGGCCTCGTTTCTTATCTTTTTTGATATGTGAAGTACTTTCTTATCTTGCCTCGTAAAGTTTAGTTTGGAGATTTGTGTATAGTAATCAGCAAAGAGGTTTGATATTTGGGTTCGTTCTGTGAACGATACCAACGTTGCCATCTTTGTCTGTGAAGGTATTTGAGGTTGTTGAGTATGGAGTTTCTTGGTTTATAGATTTAATTAATTTCAAGAGTTTCGTATCTCTTGTATGTGGCCTAGGTTGTTACAGATATCCCTCCACTTCCTCTGTTTTAGTTGGTTTGCTTTCTGTCGCACTTGGGCCAAAAGTTTGCTGAGGTTTATTTTATTTTCAAGTTCATTATTTTCCAGGAGGTGTTCTTGGGCCTGATTTCTTTGAGTTATTTCATTCTGTAGGCTGTTAATTGTTTCAATATATTCTGGGATGTATTGCTTTCTGTTTCCTCTGGGGATGGTTTTCTTGGCTGCTTTGAGTACTGTCGTTTTCCATTTTTCCATTTACTATTTAATTGTTGTTTGTCATTCGTTATTTTTGGTGTGAGGTTGGATTCTTCTCTAAATTTGGTCCAATCTGCCCTTCTGTAATTTCAAAAAAGTTTTTTGGGGCAGTGCTTCCTCCTTTATTTCAGTCGTTGTTGTTGTAAGCAGGGGGAGATGGTCCACTGCCTACTCCCTCTAAGACTTGGATGAGGGTCTGATGGGCTAGTTGTGGAGTAGCCATCACCAAGTCCAAGGTTTGGGGAGTACCATAGGAGTTAGATACGTAGGTAGGTCCCTCAGATATGCAAAGGAGATCAGTATTGTCCAGGTAGTTACTGAGTGCTTCTCCACAGTTGTTTGTCTCATTGCAACTCCTGGTGGGGTGTTTGGAGTTGAAGTCTCCTAAAAGGATTGTTTTGTCTGTTAGAAGGTGTGTAATTTGTTGAAGTTCTGGTCCTGGTTTATCTGGGGGGTGGTAGATATTGAAGAGTAGAATTGGTTCTCCTGTTTCCTGGTATAATTTTATTCCCTGTATTTCTGTCTGGTTTGTTGGGGGGATGATTATTTCTTCAAATTTTAGTTTTTTTATCAAGGTTAGAAGTCCTTCACCTCCTCGACCCTGTGCCCTGTCCTTCCTGATAAGCTTATCTACTTTATTCACTTTGAGTGCCTTTTCTGGTCTTAGTTTTGTCTCTTGGATGCAAATTACATCCGCCTTCCTTTCCTCTACTCTGTGTAGCATCTCTTCAAGTTTGATTCTGCTTCCTCTTGTTCCAATTCCGTTGAGATTGCATTAAATTGTTTTAAGGCTGTGTGATTTGTGGTTTTGTGGGGACTGTAGTAAATTTTTCGAGTTGGATCCTCTACCTAAATCCAAAACGCGGTTCAGATCCTGCGCGACAACCGATGCAGTATGAGATTCTGTTGTGCACGACTCCATAGAGGTTATATGCCAGTTACGTTAGAGCACTGGTTTTATCCAGAGTTTCCCCGAGGTCACCTACAGAGAGGCGTAACTTGGACTTTGACCTGGTATCAAATGGCCGCCTCTAACATGAGGAACAGACGCCTTGTGCAGCCGCTCGTAACATAGAGAACAGAAGCTGCTGATTATCCTGTAACTCAAGGATAGGAGCCCTTACAGGGTGCTATCAGTCGGGCCAACTGAAATCTGGTTTTTTAACGAGCTTGTTACTGCTCCCCTTCCTTCTTTTACATCCGGGCTTGGGGCCGATAATGGCGGAGTTGTGATAAACTAGTACAAATGTGTTTTTTTCTGGGATAAGGTGAATTAATTAAGAAAAAGGCATATCCTTATCGTGAAACTAAAAGTTGCTGATGGCCTGCGCCATTTTCAGGATGTCTGAAAATGAATTTCTCAAATATATAGATCCTCGATCATATATAATTGAGGTAAAAGGGCAGGAATATCGGAAACTAT